GGACAGGTCCAGCTGGTCTCCCAGAGCGGCTTCGTGTGGCTTTCCAGCCTTGTCAGCAGGGGCCCCCCGCTCGGAGCGCTGGCCTGCCTGGAAACCCCTCCGCTCTCACTCGCTGGGAAAGCACCTGGACATACCCTGAAAGAGGAAGAAATTAAGAGTTTTCTTCCCACAGAGCTGCGGCTGCATCCCAGCTGATCCTGGAGCGGGTGGGAGAAAGGCAGAAAACGGTGGGAATGGTAAAAAATGCTGAATTCTGGGCTCTTCCCTGACAGCTTGTGCCTGTTCAGCAGCAGGGAGCAGAAGCTGCTCCGGCTGGCAGCTCTCTCCACCCCCCGCCCGGGGAGGCACCGGCGCTGTGCTCCCTCAGGTCCCGTTTCACCGGGTGTACCTCGTGTCTGGCGTCAGGGGTCCCCGGCTCCTGCTCTCTCCCTGCTGGCCGGGTGGGCTCTGCAGGGGCAGCGCCCTCCACCCCGAGACCCGCGGGTCGCGCCTGGAGAGCTGGTGCCGCCTCTGCTCCGTGCTGCTGCTGAGCCAGAGCCCCCGGCCAAGCTCTCCCTCGGGAGGCTGGTGCAGTGCTGGAGAGTCTGGGCTTCCCTGTGTGGATCCAGTGTGCCCTTTCCCCTCTTTCCCCCTTTCTTCTCCCTTTCCCCTTTCTTCCCTTCCCTTTCCTGCATGTGTACCTTCAAATGAACAAAATGAGCGGCACACAATGCGCAGACAGACCCTCCTTCATCTCCTCAGTGCCCATAACCTGCTTTTCAGCACCTTTATGTATGACAACAAACACCTGGCCAAGGCAGCTTGTGCTCTTTTTCATGCCCACCACTAAAACCTGAATTTTGTGTAGCAGTGGGGACAGATCCTGGGCCAGTCTTGTGTACCTGGAGCTGATTAGGTGGGATCTGTTAAACCACAGGAATATGGACCTTCTTCCCAGGGCACCTGGTCCCTGGTGAACAAGAAAAGCTCCAGGCCCTGGAGCAGAAACTGGTGCCTCTCCAGGGGATTACACTGTGAATCCCTAAAATAAAATACAGCAGCCTCTGCAGTATTTTATGGGGAGGGCTGCAGGATGGGGACAGCTGCACAGGGATGTTGTCACCTGAAGCCTTTGTATTTTCAGGTAAATTGTCATAGTTGCAGATGCTGTCTTGCAAAAATCAGGCAAAGAGCTGAGTTTCATTTTCCTTCTCAGCTCCTAATTTCTTTGTATGCCTTATAAATACTTCTCGTTCTTTGCTGTCACTTTTGTTTAGTAAAAAATGATTTAACAAGTTCTCCCTTGGAATGTGTTTTAATGCATTTTATGCAGAATGACATTAATGACTTGACTTGTTAATATTTTATTTAATGGATATAGGAGCACATTCAATTTTACATGAATGCATGTCATGATGCAGGGGAGGAAATATTGATGTGTGGTGAGGATGCAGAAGTAGATGCGAATACAGACAGCACGGTATTTCCTAGCACAGATTGCTCTTGTTGGGACCACCCTCCTCCTGCAGACTGCCTGCAGTGCTCACATTCAGCTCCAACACGTGTTGGTGCATTTCACGAGGCTGTGGTTTCAGCCAAGTCGGCAGCTTTGGTGAGCTCTGGTGAGGTCAAATACTGTTAGCTCTGATATTCTGGAGGTGATTGTTGCCTGTGGCTTCACCCTGCAGTTCATCTGTGGCTGGTTTCCTTTCCCCTCGTCTTGTTTCAGAGGGGTTCCCATCACACTCAGGGTTTTCTCCTGTCCAAGGCTGTCTCGGGATGCCAGGTTTCAGCAGAGGGTCCTGCAGCCCAGGTCCTGCTGTGGGAGCGCGGCTGCTCCAGGGCACTGCGGTGGTGGGCAAGTACTGTGCAGCTTCTGGCGTCCTCCCCACCAGCCAGCCCAGCCCTGGCACCGTTTCCATCCATGCAGTGTAGCCCTGGGCACAGCAGCCGTTGGATTCTGCTGGGCACGAGCACGTTCGTAGACTCAGAGGCACCGCCGTGGCAGTGCCGGGTCCCCCGTGCTGGGTGCAGGGAGGGGGGACAGGATTCCCCTTGTCCATCAGCATCGTGAGCAGCCCTGACGTGCTGGTGGAAAAAACGAGTGTCCTCGGTTAGGAGCTGTAATCGTTGATGGCGTTTCCACCTACACAAGTAATTAAGATTCAATAAGGCTGCTGTTAATGTATGCTGTTAAATTAGCTGCTGAGCATTAGAACCTTATTACCTTAATTTAAAGTATTACTGGTTTCGTACTTCCCTGGTCCCGGTCTCTGCCGTGCGGTGCTCGTGGCAAGGTCTGAGGGCTCGAGCTGCAGGAAGGTGCTCACACATGGCCCCTGTTAGCCATGTGCTGCCTTTTCCCTCCTTTCCCCTGCCATGTGGCAGGAAGGTGCGTGGTTTCTGACTCCTGTTGGGTTAATAAAGGAAACGGGAGCTGCCAGCTATGGACAGAGGGTTTGACTGTAAAACCATCAAGAATAAATTCAGTAAGGAGAGCATCTGTGAGCGTATTTGCTATTTGATTTTTGTTCCATGCCACATCACAACATAAAAATATAGGTGACTATTTAAATACTTCTGCATTATCACTTACTTGCTATTTTTATATTCTCATCTGTATGTTTTTGAAGTATATTTTAGAGATGATATTTAACATCATGTTGGGCCAAATTCATAGGTGAGGGATGTGTGGGGTGTTTGAGAAAGGTGGGACTGTTACTATGGCTTGTGCCTGAGGTTCAAAAAAAGACGAGTGTTTTTCTGGGAGTCTGTAGGTACAGCTGGGGAATGGTAAGTGTGTGTATATAGCCTCTGCAGTTAATTATGGTAAGCATAAACTGATCAAATTTTAGAATGTCATACATTACTTTTTCTAAATGAATTGTTTTAACAATTTCTGCAAAGAAATAATACTGTAGAAAGTCAAAAGAGACTATTACACGGTACATTAAAACTGTTCCTAAAGAGCACAGCAGCCTGTGCTGAGTCCCACAACTGTGGTATTTTTAAGCAGAGCCCTTCAATTAAGCTTGAAATGGTCTGTTCAGATCTTCATGGAAGGGAATCAGTGCAAAGCAGAAACATGACCGCAGAGACTCTAGAATTTGCAATTCCCACTTTTTTCTAGGACAGGAGAGGGCAGAAATTACTTGAGCATCAATGGTTTCCTGTAATGCCGATGTGTGTGCAGTGCCGGTGGTGCTAATGCAGACTGTGATGCCAAGGGAATTATTAGGGTGTTAAAATACAAATGAGAGGAGAAGAAACCACTCTCTGGTGCTCAGCATAGTAGGGGAGACAACAGAATCAGGGTCTGCAAACACTTAGGTCTGTGTTTATATCCTTAATTCAGGCAGGTTTTGCCCTACATACCAGGAGCAGGAGCCCTCTCAGGGATGTCCAGGAGGGAAATGGGTGTGTAGTGTATGCTCAGCTGCACCCTGTTCCCTTCTGCAATACCTGGTTTTGTTGTTGCTGTAGTTCCTAAAAGAGGCTTCTCATTTCTTCCATAAACAATAGATTTTGAACCCAGCTATTGGTCTCTCTTAGCCCAGGTCACTTCATTATGGAAAGAGAAAGAAACAAATCAAATCTGCTTTTGCAGGTTTTACAGGTATGGAGGAACTTCCCCAGCAGCATCATGATCTTCTGTGATTGCAGAAGACAGAGAGAAATGTTTTGGGTGAAAACCTGTCTACAAAGACAAAACAGAATGTTAGTGTGTAAACAACTGCTTGATTATGTGCTAGGCAGGCTAATGTCCTCTCCAGAGGAGGGAGAAGAGTACCAGGGCACTGAGAATAAATGCCTCAGAAATGGACTGAACTGTGCATTTTTCTAGGAAATCTAAACTGTCGTGAATCAAAAATAGTATCAGTCATTTTCAGCAGCCACTGGCCAGCACACTGCCTTGGGAAAAGGCCCTTTTCGCCTTCACCTCTCATTCTGATTGCTGCCTGTCTGCTGGGCTCCTATTTTTAGAATTTCAGCTTTTCAGAGGTGGCAAAGTCTTGATTTCCTTGTCCTGCTGAGAACTGAAAATACTCTCAGCCTTAAGTCATTTAATAATAATGCTGAGATGCAAGCTGTTAAATGAGGAGGAAATATTTTTCTTGTTTGGTACAATAAATAGTGGGGTTTGTATCTCTCTGGGCGTCTCAGGTGTTTTTTTCTCAGGCTGCTCTGTTGCGTCTCAAACCCTGGACTTCTTCCTTAACCTTGACCTTCTTCCCCCTTCCCTGACACCCACCCAAGACAATTCACTTTATTAGAAGGTCTGAAACAGCATGCAGTGGCAAGGTTGGTATTGAAGGAAAGGCAGTAATAACTGTCCTAGCTGAGCATCAATCTCCAGTAAAAACCTGAACTTCGGTAACAACGTAAAAGCTATTACAATCTTTTAATGAGCAGTTTTTATTGTATCCATAAATCATCTCCCGCCTCTTGCTTTTTTTACCTTATGTGGCAATTAGTTGCACACAGTTTGAGAGGTTTTGCAGGTGCACCCAGGGGAAGGTGGCTCTGCTCTGCTCTGCTCCTGTTGCCGCGCTCCCGTCGGCATCCGCCGCGTCTCCGTGCCTGCTCAGTGCACGCGCTTCAGGCGAAGGAACGCCTGGTCTGCAGAGGATGTCTCAGAGAGGTGAAGTTTGATCTTCACTGAGTAAGCGAAGCACAGGCTGGTTTGGCTGGTTTTGTTCTTCAGCTCGGCTGTTTCCCAGTGAATGTACCGGGAGAAGGTTTCTGTGACGTTGCTTATAAATCACTTTGCAGCTTCTCTTAGAGGTATGCATGAATCTGCTTAATTGCCTGGTTTTCCTTCCCTGCAGTCTGTGCCCAGAGGCAGAGCAGTGAATTAGGAGAGAAATGCTGTTTCAAACCAAGTGCTTTCCCTGCGCAGGGGGCAGTGAGTGCTCCTGCTCAGAGAGGGAGTGTCCAGCAGCCCCTTCAGAGGGTGCAGCTTTGACCCTCTCATGACCCAGGGAGCAGGACAGGTCATAGTCCAGTTCCCATTTCTGTTGCTCTAGGGGTGTTTTTTGTGTTTTGGTTCAGTGCTGCTGATGCCCCTTGTGTCCTTTTTGCTTGCTTGTGCTTTTGCTCTCCGGAGCCCAGCACAGTCACCTCCCTGCCCACTCCTGCATTCACGTGCTCAGCCAACGGTGCTGCTGCACCCAGGTCACCTTCTCTGCAATTTACACAGCAATAAAATAAAATGCAGGATATCTACTTGGAAAATCACTTGTAACTGTAGCAATCAGTTGAATGGAAAGTAGCAGAAGCAGCCAAGATTTGTTAGAAGGTAACAAAACCAAACAAAACCAAACCCTTGCAAAACAAAACAACATTTAGTAACATTTCTACTGTGAACCCACTGAGATGTTGTTTCTAGTTCAGTGGTACTCTGTTGGCCAGCAGCAAGAGCAACAGTTTTATAAATAGTTGTTTGTTATTGTATCTGTGAAGGGCTGAAACTAGCAAAGCCAGGGCTGCTTTGTGGTCAGAGGCTGTAGACAGGTATTGCAGCCAAAACAAATCCATCAGGCAAACGGGCTCCTGGCTTCCAGCTTCTGGAAGGCCACCTGGTACCTGTGCCAGGCTTCCAGCTTTGACCTTCAGGCAAAGGCTGCTGAGTCCCTGGCTCTCAGAATGAGCAGCTGTGTTCAGCAAACATGGCCATTTCCATCAGTGGATAAATCAGAGTGGATCCCTTTTGGGAAAAAAAAAAGTTCCTGAGTAACCTGGCTCCTACACATACTAACAAGAAATTGCCCTGAATTGTGACTATCAAAAAAAAAAACCCCAGAGGAATAAATGGGACCTCGTGTGCTCATTAGTCTGGGTGCAGTGGTGCTTTGTGAGAAAGTCCCGGGGGAGGGATGAAGAACTGTGGGGACTGTGGTCTACAGGAGGGGTTTGACTTTGAACCCTGCTTCGTTCTGCTTGGTCTGTGCCTCTTAAAAATATTCTTTTAGGCTTCACTAATGCTTGGATACTGTGGCCTGGAAAAGAAGGGTTACTATAAAGAGAAATGTCTGGGAAACTAGAAATGCAGTTTGAGATCTGAGATTCTGAGTATCTTCTAATTATTCCCCCTCCCCTTTCTTCAGCCATTTTCACTCATTTGTACTTTCCAGCTGCCATTTTAGTTCTAAATAATCCATAGCCCAGGCATGAAGATGTTTTTCGTCCCAGTGCAGCCCTGAGCCCACACCAAGCACACAGCTCTGCTGGGGGAGGTGCAGAATTCATGACTCTGGTTCTCTTTGCAGGCCTGAAGCGCAGCTACACGTGCAGCATCTGCAGCGTCACCCTGAACTCCATAGAGCAGTACCACGCGCACCTGAAGGGCTCCAAGCACCAGACCAAGTGGGTACCTTTGTGCTTTTCCTGGTGGCCTCCCATCTGTCTGTGGCTGCCTAGATGAACAGATGTATAGTAATGCTTTACACTCTGATGACCCCTCATCTGGGGCGCTCTGGGGGTTTTGCCAGTATAGATACTGGATGCACCTCTGGGCTGAGAAACACAGGGCTGAGCCCAGCTCCGGGGAGTCCCACCGGAGCAGAGAGAGCTGTTTGCTCTTAATTTCCTGCCAGTCACTGCCTGTCCCAGTGAATCCTGCTGCCAGCTCATCGTGCTCCCTATGCAGCTGGCAGCATTTCACTGGGGCAGGTTTGTCCTGGCTTCCCACGTTTCTGCCACGGGCTCTGGGATAGTCCTGCAGGGTCCTGAGCCTGCAGATGTCCCAGGGCAGGGGCTCCTGCCTGGGGAGGTGAAGTGTGCTAAGAGGATGTCCTGCTTTCCTGAACATCTACTGCAGAGCACTCCTCTATCTCCTCTTGTCAGGACACCCCCCCCACGGCTATGGTTCAGAGACACCCCTCGTCCTTGGCTTGTCCTTCACAGGGTATCAGCTTTTGGGCAGGAGCACTCGCCACTTCTGCTCACAACAGCCCTGTAAGCATTTACAGCGGGGCACCTATAGCTTTGCACATCTCTTCCCTGTGTCAGGTTATAGGTTTGCTGTCCCTGCCCACTGAAACGTCAGATGGTCCCAGGGAACCCAAATATCTGCCCGTCCTCTCCTCAAACTGAGCAGCACGTGCTGGTTTGGGATGGATGAAGAAGAATGGGCAGCAGCCACTCAAGATGTTAATAATACCTGGTCCTGATGGCACAGGTATTTGTCCTTAATGACACTGAGTTTGCAGCTTCTTTCATGTGTGAGACCTCAGAAGAGACACTGGGAGTGTAATGGGATTAGGTGTTTCCAAGTGAAAAGTTTATGCTATGATTTTGAGCAATTATGTATTACCCAACTGTGACAATTGGAGGGAGTCTGCTCTGTCAATTAGTACAAATTATTAAAATGAGGTGATAAAGATACATGGCACCAGAGTGCAGATTAATGAACTAATCTCTCTTAATACACTTACATGTGAGCTTTGGGAACCGAGGCTGAAGCACTCAGGACTGCCCAGATTAGAAGAAGGATATAAAAGGTGTCATTAGTTACTGAAATACTTCAGGTAGGTTTGTGGGCAGCCTGAAAGCTGAGGCTGATCAGAACCAGCAATAATTACTAATGTGTGATTTTGCTTAAGCTACCAAAGGATAAATGCAGACGTTCCCCAATTGATGTTAGACCTTCAAAGATTCCCCGTATTTTTCATGTTAGCTCTAACCTATTTATTCATGGAGCATTTGAATGTTTTCTAAATGCCACCCTTTTTGGACCTCAGTGTGTAAATCGTAATCACGATCTTAATTAGCAGGAGGAACTGATGGCATCAGATTTTCTAGGAGAGGTCAGTGTCTGTACTCAGTGCAACAGAGTCCCACTGCTGGAAAACAGAGCTGACAGCTCTTCCCATTGGAAACCTGGAATGAGAGCAGCTGTGATGTGCTGCCTGGGCACAGAGCTGTAATTTATCCTTCCTTTGCCAGTCCTTCTGAGTTCGTATTGTTGTTGACATTGTTGCTGCTGGTATTTTTACGAAGGATAAAGGAGTGCATTTCAAATCAGAGCAGCCAAATGGATGGGAAATAGAGATGTGCAGAAAAGATGCACTACTTTTCAGGTGCCTCCCATCCTCTCTTTTATACCCACACCGTTTGGTTTTGTTGTTTGATCACCTGCAATTTGCAGAGTGTCGTCTCCACACTTAGACAATTCTGCAGAATGATCATTCCTTCTGCATCTACTGCTTTTCCAAATTTCTTCTTTCAGCTTGCTCTGACAAAATTGCAAAGACTAAGGACCTTTCTGCCTCATCCCTGCAGTAAGAGCCTAACAGGGAATGTATTTGCTGCAAAGCTTGGGACTGAAGGGAATTTCTGGGTTACAGATTGGCAAGAGTTGAGACAATGGTGCTCAGACTCATGAGAGTGACTCTTCCAGAACAGAAACACTGGAGCTGGGGGGTGGTGAGGAATGGGCAGGGTACAGACAGTGTCCTGAGGGCGGTGGGGACGGCAGCAGCGCGGTGTTTGGGCAGCGTTTGGGCTGCGAGGCTCCCGGTGCCCCAGCCCATCCCCTGGCACGCCAGCGAGCCCCATGGCAGTGCACTGGTTGGGTGTCCAGGCTCGGGGGCACTCGCAGCCATCCCAGGCGTTTCCCAGAGCTCTGAAAGCACAGGAATTATTGCTGGGAAGGCCCTTTTCTCTTTGTTCTCAGTGAGGATGAAGCCAGCCTGTGCAGAGAGCACCAGAGAGCACAGAACCCTGCAGGACTCCCTCTCCTTTTATAAGGCCCTTCCTCTTCTGCAAATTAATATTCTTATCAGTCTTTCTAAATTTAGTGTCTTATCATTTATTCATAATGACTTCAATCTGGTCCCAAGAGATTTTCATGGGCATTCAGTACAAGAGGAAACAAAGTAATAAATTCAAAAGAAAGTATGTTACAAATGTAATAATGGAATGCCAATTAGAGACATTCGTCTGACCAATTTCTATGGGAAATTGCTCTGATTATTCTATTTCCTCCAACCATTGTTCATTCTTATACAATTTTCTTTGAGGCTAAGTATCCGAGCACAGCATGGATCTCTCCAGAGCCTATAGGGAAGTGCAGAAGCATGGGAGACAAGAGATTGGCAGCTTGGGTTTGTGCACAACAAAAGCTCTTCCCACCCTGTAATTAGTATGTAACCAGATTTTACCCTCCTTCTTTGAAGCTACTCTATATGGGACAGAGGGAATGACTTACCCATATCTTGTATCCTGGATCAGTTCTCCTCCCATAGTCTAAGGGGTCTGTAACAGCCACGGGCACTGCTAGGTGTTGTTGGACCCAGGAGGAGCAGAGGGTGTCTCATGACCATAATTCTTCTATTTGCCACGTACACAGAGATGACCTTGTACCTGATGTTTTAACAGAGCTGGCTGTGCAGGTCGAGTGCTTGTGATAATGGCAAGTAGCAAAAGAATTCAGGAGAATGAAGTAGTTCATACAGCTCATCTTCCTGACTGCAGAAACAGTCTGTAGTGCAGGGAAAGGCAAACAAATCTTTATTTCTAGGGCTGTAAATGAACACACTGTGAAAAGTTATCCTACATCGTGTCTTGACTGTTGTTCAAGTGACTGAAGGTACCTGTGCCCCTGTTCCCGCTGCAAAGGGATGTGCAGGGCAGCAGAAACACAACAGATTTTGACAGGGCTGCATCTATGGGTTTGCAGCCTTCTCCAAGCAATTACTTCTTCCATACAAAGAAAGTTCATTTTGTAATCCAGACCTGCTGAGTTTCCACCACCAGTTTATCCCAGAGCACGGCTGGGCCACGGCAGCACCGTGGCTCTCGAGTGCAGGTGAGGAAGTGTGAACGTGCTCTGCTCTGGGGTGCTGGGTGGGGTTCTGCCCCCCTGCAGCCGTCCTGAGAATCTCAGTGAGTGTTTTGCCCACTGTTTTTTGCTGTTCTCATTATTGTTGGTTAGTGTCAAGGCTGCCCTCTTCCTTATAACTTGGTCTGAAGCCAGTAGATTGCAGTTGCCAAGGCAACAAAACATTTTGTGTAGCTGTCATACTTCATATAATTAAAAAAAGAAAAAAAAAAGGAAGGGGGAGCGGTTTGTGAAGGAAAGGGGATTTTGCTCTGGGACAGGTTAGAGGGAAGGTGATTGCAGGCTGGAAGCTACTGGCACCCAGAAAATACGGGGCAGAGGAGTCTTCTGAAAAGCTGCTTTAGGAGAGAAGAACTTTTATGAGGAATGAGTCAAGTTGTGGATATTTATTATAGTTTTTGAGAGCTCTCCAGAGAGTAACACACAACTGAGGCACTGCTAGAATTGCTTTAAGTAACCCACCACACAGCAGCCCTTGAACTGCTGCTTAGCAGGCCGTGCTGCCTGGACCTCCAGCACCTCCCGGCGCGGGTGGGGACAGTGCTGGAGCTCCACCAGCGAAGGAGGAGGAACTGAAGGCTGAGTACCCTGCAGCTGACCTTTCTTCCTTTGGGGGGGGGTCTGGTGGGTGGGAAGAGCTTCATTGTTTGTTTACAGGAATTTCAGGGCTTGCATAAATGCTTCTGACTGAACTGAACCAAAATATGGGGAAAATGGAGGCTTGGGAGAGAGAGCCGAAAGTGTCTTGGCTGGTATTTTGGTGTTGAATAAAAGATGCAGGAGGAGGTAGCTAATATTGAACTAGTCCTTATCCCTCTGGCCAATGAATATGCAAAGCAAGATAATGTCTGCTAGCTCCCATTTTTTCTCCAGGGTTCAGGTACTTTAAGCTGTATATTTAATATAAAAGAAAAACATAGCCATTTTTTATTCTACCATAAATTCAGGAATTGGGGCGAGAGTCAGATACAGGAGTATATTTTTTTAATACATCACAAATCTGGCACCCAGTCTGTTTCTGTCAGGGGCCAGGCCGTGTTTATCCTCGCTCCGATGGGAATTTGCACGGAGCAGTGGAGCGAGGGCTGCATTAGATGTGCCAGGGTGGCAGAGCTGCAGCTCAGGGCTCGGACACACCACGCTGCTGGCTGCACTCGTGTCGGCACAGGAGCAGGTTCCAAAATGTAGCTGGACTCTAGAACATCTGCAGGGGGAGGAGCACCAAACCTTTAATTAGGGATTTATGGACTGTGTAGAGATGATTGAGTCATTGTTTGACTTGCTTTCCAGAAATAGATGCGGTTTTTTTTGAACAATTCTCTTCTCCTTCCCTCTTGCCCCTAATGAGCAGCAGAATGATCAGTGAGGCACAAGGTCCCGCTTCGGCTGGACCTCGCTCAGCACCAGTAGCTCTGTTTCTGTGGGGACCAGTGGCAGTGAAGACAGCGGCTGGTGAGGAGCTGCGGGAAGGAGGGCACGTTCTCTCTGAAGTACTGGGAGAGGATCACATGCCAGCCTTGCTCCTTCCTGCTTGCCATGGGCTGAAAGAAACAAAACTTCCTTCTTTTCTGGTTTATGTCAACTCTGAAGATGAAAAATCAGTGCTAAAAATTATTTGCAACAAACCACAGAGAATTAAAATCCTGGGTAGTTGTGAAAGAAGACAGAGGATATTCAAATTCTGGGGTCAAAGGAATGCTTGTGTGGAATATTAACTCAGGGCTTTGCAGAAAGCCTTTCTCTCCTTTGGTGAGTGAGCGCGGGCAGCGGGGCTGGGGGCAGGGCGCTGTGCTGCTTGGGAGCTGGGTTTGGGGAAGATGAGCCAGAGTGCCTGGTTCCAGGTCAGAAGGAATTCCTCAGGGGCTTTCGGATGAAAGGACCAAGGATGCTGTTGGCAGAGTGCCAGAGCCCAGACCCACATTTGATGTCGGTGCCATCTCTGGGCCATTGGAAATACATCAAATGCTGTAATAACGTGCAGAATGGTGAGAGCTGTGAGCTGTCCTTTGCCATTCTGGCTGTCAGTGATTGGAGGCTGAGATCCAGCCCTAGTAATTAAGAGTCTGACTATGTGGGAATAATGATTCCCACTTCCATATGGAAGAATTTTATCTTCTTGCCTTTATTTTGTCTCTTTGATCAGCCAGACCTCTCTGTCATGTCTGGAGCTCACAAATATATTCTGGGGTTTTATAACCACTCATTTACACATTCATAGATACTAATACACTTCTAGGTTTCCCTTGCAAACTCATGCTTTCTGATTAATTTCAGGATTTTTGCAGAGAGGGGGACCCAATCTTGCAGCTGTCATTGGGGTATCAATTCAACCTGCCAAAGGAGGGCAGGTTTCAGTCAAAAGGAGTTCCAAGGGGCTGAGAGTGGTTGTTTCTAGTTTGGAAGGTGAAGACCTCTCTGCACAGCCCTTCGCCTAGTCTTTGGGTTGCCCCCTGTGAAAGCCCAGATGATTAATGGCATGCTGAGGAGCAAATGGCAGTGGGCTTGGTGTCCATGAGGGGGCTTTTGTTGTGGTTTTTAAATTTTGTTTTTCCTCAATGGAGAACACAGATGTCTAATTGGAATAGGGTATTTATTGGCATAAGCTGCTTGGCTATTCAGAAATTGGAGCTAATCAAAATATTGTAAATATCATGCCTGGAGAAATGTCACCCTTCACCATGATTGTGATGCTATGGGATTTTCAGTCTATTTAAGAAAGTATAAACAAATCTTTGCAGCCTGTTGTGGCTGAAACCTGTTCCTGGCTGCAGCCACCCTGCCGCTTCCCTGGCCCCACGCTGCACGGGTGCTCTGCCTGGCCACCACGGGCACCACGTACTCTGGGGGCTTTGGAACTTATTATGTGCCAAAAAGCAGGAGACAGGACCAGAGGAGGGCTTTGGTGGGTCCTGACATGACTTTGGTTGTGTCAGATTTTATGCAAAATGTTATTTCTGTTTCCTCTGGACTTTCCCAGCCCCATCCCTGGTGCTGGGAGGTTGAGCTCCCTCCTGTGCATCCTGATAAACGATTTTCAAAATATTCCAGGAAATTATAGTAAATACTGGAGTTGTACCATGTGCTTTCCAACCAAACGAAATGATTATTTTCTTACCTTGATGACTGCAGCTTTTATTGGTAGCAGCAACAATTTCTACATGCTTTCCGTAACATATAGTGACTGACGCCTAAGATAAAAAGAAACCCTTAGAGTGAGAAAGACTCCAGAAGATGAATAGCTGTAAAAGGTAGATGGAATTGAAAGGCATTTTAATTTGTCATTGTTTCAATTCCAGAGAGCAGCTGAGTAATTACACTGCCTATGAAGAGAGAGTGTGTAATACTTTCTCTCATTATAGGATTAAATTCTCTCCCTTCACTTTTAATGTGGGTGAAAGTAAAGATATCTCTGATATCTTCTGTTTTGATCATAACTTGAAAGCCCCAGAATGGCTCATGCAACTTTGTTTTGTGGTGCCTGGTGTACAGGCTGATTATTTTTATGTAGAGCATAAACATTGGGATGATTTCTCAGTGTGTAAACCTGAGATCACCCACGGCTGCTGAATGAGAAATTCCTCATTGGCCCGTGGTGCCCTGGGTCACGATCCAGGCAAGTTTTGCAGGGTTTGGCAGGCTCAAAGAAATTTAAATGGAGGACCTAAAGAAAGTACACTTTTTTCAAAGCTGGAGCTTCAGCCGCTGGCAGAGGCTGCGGGGTGTGGGCAGCATCCTCTGGGAAGGGGAGCGGGATGCTCTGGGGCTGCCCGGGCACCGGTGGGCACCGACGCGTGGGCAGAGCTCGGGAGGGGCACAGAAACCAGCTCTGAGCCCGGAATGGCAGCGGGGCGACTGACTTCTGCTGCCATTCTGTCTTGCAGCCTGAAGAACCAGTAGTAGTTCATGAGTCGAGACGAGGAGAACCACCGAGGCTTCTTCTGCGGCGAGGAGCTGGTCAGCGGGGAGAGGATGTTTTCTGGGACAGTGATCCTGTGTGGATTGAGAATTAACATGTAACTAACCTTCGCTTTGGACAAATTCTTGGATTTATTTTTTTTTTTTTTTAATTTTCTGGTGAGTTAAAATATTTCAATGGATTTTTTTACCCTTTCAAGATAATATTTATTCAGCACAGAGTCTAGAGTACGATAACTATCCTGTAAATACAGCACTTAATCATCACTCATCTTCAGAGACAGTGGAAACAAAATATTTTACTTTTTCATATTTATTCTTAGATTTCTCCCTCGAGTATAAAATTATTCTATTACATTATCCATGATAGTGATGTAATCAGTCTTCAATCAGAAATAAACATACTTTCTTCACCTTCTCCAGCATGGTTTGTGTCAACACATACAGAGCAGCAAAAAAATGGATCATGGGGATTGTATAACGGATGGATTTTTTTCCTTTCCTCTTTGTCTTCAGAGAAAAAATGGTTCACTGAGCAAAGAAAACTAAAATGAAAGCGTAAAATGCTTTTCCCACCGGTAGGATTCTCACAGGCTAGACAGCAGCCGCTCACTTTATCAACTTTGCCAGCGCAATCCCGAAGCCAGACGTTGCTCTGCCCACTCGCTGCTCCTGGAGCGGGCAGCCCTGCGGGAGAGCTCTGGGGAGGACGGTGGCACCACACCGGCAGTGCCACGAGCAATGCAAACAAACCTGGCGGTGCCCAGTTACACAAGCTTGGTGAGTGCACTTTGCATGCAGGGACCCTCTCTTGTGAATGCTGCCCGAGATGAAGTGCCACCTTTTTAAAGAGTTAGCCCATTGTTTTATGTACGTGTAGTAGCACAGTTCTTCTGAGACTGTGGCCACGTCCCTGCTTCTGCATCTCTGAAACGTCAGACGCTTGAGGCGCCCTGGTGTCTTTGGAAGGGAGCAGAGGTGTGTACAGTTCCATCAGTTCATGTACCAAGAATCCCAGCAAGGTGCAAATCCACTTCTCCAGCATCTCAAGGAAGGGCAGTGACCTGCTGCTGCTGGCTCTGCATCAGGAAGACGTTCAGGTTAATCCACAGCTCACCACCGTGGCCTGCAGGTTTGTGAATCTTCTGCCACGTGGTCAGATCACAAATAGCTGATTAATCTGTGTCCTCCATCTGATTCTCTGCCCCTTAATAAACCAAAGCAAAGAGTGTTGCTCTGCATTTTGGTGTTGAGTAGCTCTGTGTGTTTCAGATGAAAGACTTTTGGATACATCACCTGGACAATGTCATTTTGTATGTTCATCGAATTATTACTATTCCTGTACACTTGTAACGTGGCAGCCCATGAGATACCGAGTGCTGAAACAGAGGGTGCTGTGGGCACTGCTCAGTAACCTTGATCTATCTCACTTTGAGGGAAGCAACACCCAAAGGGTTTGTACTGCAGAGCAGTCGAGTGGCAGATGCACATGTGAGATGAAGGCAGATTCACTGTAAGCCTGCACTGAGCCAGATTTTGGGGAAAGGCAATATTTAAAGTCATTAAATCACAAGGCAGCACATGCTAAGAAGTAATTGTCCTGATCCAGTGCTGGTACCTGTAGGGCTGCCTCAGTACAAGCTATTCTACTTGTAAATGAGCCCGTGGGATGAAGCAGGAGCAGGCTTTTTGTGGAGGGGACCTTGTGATGTTGGAGGATGAAGAATAGTCTTAATCTGCCGCTGACAGGGTTCTGGGTTTTCTGTCTCTCCCTGCTGTGGGAAGAAGTGTATCTTCCGTGGCCGGCTGGGCAGCGTGGGCTCTGGCAGCCCGGGGTGCTCTGCAGCAGGGAGCAGTGCCATGGGAAGCTGCTTTGGCTTTCCCTCGCCAGGACAATGTCTTGGAACTGGCTTCTTAGTTATTGTCTCGCCTGGGACTCTGAAACCCCTCACCTCCTCTCTGCTGGCGTCATCCTTTTAATGAAAACAAACCTATTTTTGTTGGTGGAAATTATTCTTTTACCTTGCAAAGGCAACTAAAAGCCCAAACTGAACAGACGTATTCTTAAAAGACTCCTTCCAAATCTTTAGGATAGAAGAGAAATTATTATCCTAAATAAGGAGGAAGATCAATAATAAATGTTGCTTCACAGAAGCCATGTTACGTTGCCTGCCTGCAGTGAAGGCTAAATAAACCCTTTCTAGTCTAAGAAGAAATTAGACTCCTGTGATTTGGATTTGAGGGTTTTTTTTTTACTAGAACATATGAAATCTGTTGGCAAATATACTTAATAGGCAATGTTCAGTGCTTTATCTTCATTTGGCATTTAATCAAAGGGACATGCTACATCTGTATAATAGCTGGGCTAATTGACTTGACAGAACAGAGCAATCTTGTTGGTCATCTTCATATCTGGGGAAATGAATATGAATACCACCATGTGTGATGATAGAGGCTACAGACAACACGGGGCAAAACCCCTACTCCTGAGTTTGAGCTGCAACAGGTAGGAGACAGACACAAAACTCACACTGGATTTTAAAGTTTGCAGTTAGTTTTTATCTGCTTTGATAATCTTTCCTGTTCCATCTGGTTTGCAGTTAGTTTAGTTCAGCTTAAGTGGCGTAGGAAAGGGAGAAAAGCACCTGTCCTCTTTGAAGGTAGCATTTCATGCTTTTAAACTCTCACACGTGGTGAGCAGTGGCAGGCTGTGGCCCAAGGGACTCTTTTAAGAGCTTTGGCCACATAACCTGAGAAGCAGCGGGCGCAGGCTCATACTGGTGCTGAGGTTTGTTTCAAATAGATGTTCAGGATGCTGATGCATGCCTGAAGAATGTCTTCTGCTCAGAAAAGGGACAAAAGAAGTAAGCTATGAATGCTTCTAGTGTACAGTCTGCCTGGAAATGATTTTTTCCCCTTTCACCTTGCTCCCTTACATTGCTGGGGAGAGAGTGAGCACCCCTGGAGCTCATCGCAAAACCGTGTCCCTTCAGTGCTCTGACCTCTTCACTAACTCTTGCTGACTTCATGTTTTGTGCTTAAAAAATATTTTATATACAAATAGGGCAATTTGTGTGCCTTCTTTACTCCTATCTGCAATATCTGCATTTTTTTTACATACCTGACACTGCAGGTCTGTTCAGACATTCCTGCACCTGCAGCTTTCTCCCCTTTTGAAAGCTCCCAGCAGACGGGAGGTGCCTGCAAGAGTTATCCCATGCACTGTGCTCCAGGTCTGTGCTTGAAGTCCACCAGCCAGCAGCATCTCCTGGCCTCTGCATTGCTGCAGGGATCCAAACTGAGAGAAGGAACCCAGGCTAAAGAGAGACCTTTGCTCTTCTGCGTCCTCCGGAGCATGTCTGGAGCTCCAGCTGTCAGGAGCCCTGGCCCCAGCTGGGCTCTGCTTGTGCCTTCAGTCCTGTGAAGAGAAGGGTCAGACGCTCTGCAGAATCTAATTGCTTTCTCTCTGAGGACAGTAAAAGATACTGAAGAAGCTCTATATGATTAATTTGTTCTCTTGCACCAATGCCTTTCATGTGTTGAGGAGAATGGGTTGTTCACAGATGAGTAAGCATCTCCTTAGCTTTCATAGCTGTGGGGCTGCTTCATTTATTGTGTTTTGGGTAATAACATAAGATGTCAGAGTCTCTGAAACTAAACTGCCTCTTTACAGAGAGAATGATTTACAGAAATAGGGCACATCATTCATGCATGTGCAGCCTGACTTTTCTGAGCCTCCTTCCCCCAAAATTCTTCCTTCCCGCAGCCTGTGCACCTTCCTACAAGCTGCACCCAGGGTGCTGCAGAGGCGGTTTTGTTAGGGGAGAAAAAAAATCTTCTAACTTGTGTGCTCATGTAATCACTACAACCTAATTGCAGCAAATTAATTACAGCACAAACACAATTTAAAAAAAGCCAAACCACAATTTTTTTCCCTAGGCAGGTGTGTACACAGCTCTGATGCCACTGCAGTGAGCTGGGCTGAGCTCAGCCTCCGATGGCTGTCCAAGTCGAGTTGTCCTCTCCCTGGCTGCCTGGCTTGGCCTGAAGTTGGTGGCTTGTATGGTGTAAGAGAATGACCTAAAACAGAAGACCTGTCTCTAATGTAGAAAAATACAGATTTTCGTGCCATTCTGACAGCTTTTAGGTAGATGGTTTGTCCCGTGACACTTCGGGGGGGCACAAAAATGTGCATTTGTGAGAGCAGGAGTGTCAGCACTGCAGATGGGACTGACACCACCCAGCCCTGCTGAGCAAGAGGCATGTGCAGCAAGAATGAGATGCCCCATCACATCCCCCTGCTCTGTCCTGTTTCAAACTGGAGTAACTAGAGCAGCACAATATTTGCAGTTGTTGCCAGTATTGTCCTGATCCAGTCAATCATGCTTTGGTCCTCAAATCCTTCTAATCTCTTGCTTTTCCTAAGTTCATTAGGCCTTCAAAGCAAGACATGAAAAGACAAATCTCCTAATGGTAAGTCAGTGATCCCTGCTGAAATGCCTCCAGACTGTGTGCTCTGCTCTGATGATGAGACTTGTACACACCACCGGCTTAAACATTGTGTGCAGATATATTGGAGATCTTGGAAAATGGATGCAGTGCAACCAGGGCATCCCCCAGGGTTACTTTAAAGGGTAAGAGTGCTATACTTCCTCCATTTAAAAAAAAAAAAAAAAAAAAAAAAAAGACAAAAAAGCCCAAACAAACATACTCTTCGTTTTTCATGCAGAACATGTATATGTTAGAGAATTTAATTTTGTCTGTTCTGGCCAAATGCTTTCCCAGCTTAAAATTCTGTGCAAGATATTCTGTAAAGAAAGTAATCTTGATAATTAAGTGACAGTCTGGTTGTCTTGCCACATGCACACGTCTAAGGAGCAGTGCTAACTGGAATACCACTGGCACTGGAGGACAGCTGGAAATGTGATTATTAGCACCAAAACCGTAATCTTTTAGAGATGGTTCATTGCAGTTCTGTAGCACACAGGTAGTATTTTGGGAGGTGAGACACTAACTTTCTGGAGTGTTTTATGTTCAGACATAATATCTCACAAATAATACATGGTTTTTTTCACTGGTTTCTTGTGCTAAGGCAATAGAGCTCTATGGCAACAGTGTGTAAAGTGACTCTACCCTGAGACATGCTGCTTAATACAAAGAAATTAATCATGGGAGAAGAATGCTCCTAGTACGTAAGTGGTACATTCTTTGTTAAGTTCCTGTTGCATCAACTTAATTAGTAAGTCCTGACCTTTAAAACCACCTTCTGTAATCTTCAAATTATGTAGGTGAAAGTCTGTATTCCTCTTCCTGTCTGTGCTGGCAGCTTTCTGCACTTGTCTGGATTCATTCGAGCTCCTCAAGCGTGTGACCAGCTGAAAATCCTCTGGTGGGCACCTCCAGATCTGTTGCAGATCTGTTGCAGATCTGTGTGATAGGGAGGACCCAGTCTGGTGGTTAAACATTCAGGATCTCAAGACAGAGAAAGCAAATATCCATTAACATTCCAAAGTGTTCCCCACTTAAATTACTGGACTGTGCTCAACTGGAA